AAAATAATCAAAAACAAAAACTTTTCGGTGTCTGCGGACTCCAAGACGTGTATTACTGTTGAAACCTCGAAATCGATTTTCCGCAGCATTACGTAACATTCTCTATACTACGTTTATTACTCCGTACGTACACGAGAAAATAATTAGTAGTGCTACAGAATGGCACAGACACTCGTACAAGTCAGGTTTTTAATTTCGTTGGTCTGGACAAACTTACATTATTGTCCTAACCTCTAGCAAGGTACGCCGAAAGTACATTTTTTTAAAAAAGTTTCTTAATTTTGTCGGTTTTCTGACGGTAGAAACGAAATATTACTTAAAAAATATTAAAGAAGAGTAAAACATCTACGTACAAGGAAAGTTTTGTTAAAAAAAATTGGAGCCATTTTAAGGAAATTGCGTTTAGGCGTTACTGAAAATGCGAAATTTTAAGCTCTTTTTCACAGAAATCTTTTGAGTTTTTGAAAAGCTCCAAACTTTTTGTATGGGTAGTGCTAAATGCACTATTGAAATGCACTATGAGAAAGATGAAGTTCGGTATATTCCATTGTTTTTAAAAAATTACAAAAATGTAAATTTTTGGAAAAACTCTCACGCCTTTAATGAGCACATTCCCAGCGATTTGTAAACCCTATTGCATTTCTGAGTTAAGGTGCTTTAAATGGCTTCAATTGAAGTTTTTCAAAAACTCAAAAATGTTCTGTGATAAAGAAATTCAAATTTTGCATTTACATTAAAACTTGAATGCTATTTTCTTAAAAACAGCTCTAAATGTTTCAATGAAAATTGCCATTTAGGACGAAGTTTTACTGTTCTTTAATATTATTAAAGTAATATTTCGATTCTACAATTAGGAAAACGAAAAAAACTGTAATTTGGACGGCAATAGATGACAGCTGGGAGGAGTATGTGGCAAATTCGAATAGCTAGTTGAGACCAAAGAAAATACAAAATATGTGAGTCCTATAGATTTTCAAACATGACTTCTTTTGAATTATTAATTTTTTATCCATTTCTGAACAGTTAATAAAGTTCATATTTTTTATAAAGTTTACACAAATGTTGAAGATGGTACTCATATTTGGGTTTTAAAATAGCATTTAATTCATTTTTTTAAATTTCAAAATACAAGTGGGGGCTCAAATTATCACCTCCTCTATAAATAAAACCATAAATACTTTTGATCTTACCAAAAACGGAAGATTGCATTTTAATTAAAATAATTTATTAATGCACATTTTAAAATATGTACCCTACAGTTATGGATAAACATTTTTGATAATAATAAATAATAAACATTTTCAAATATTGATATATGATTCACTCAGAAAAATGCAAGGTTTAATTTACAGTTCAGAGCATTCAAATAACAATGAGGATCACGTCTGTGTTCAACTAATCTAATTAATAACATTCAGCAATAAGCAATTGAATAATTAACAAAATTGAAAACAATGTGTGTAATTGCAGCACCATTAACTTACTAAACCACTTAACTAAAGCACTAATATATAAACAAATATTTTGAGACACTCGGACAGCCCTCCCCTATTTTGCGGAACATGAATGTTCATTCTTGGGCCTCTAAGAACATAGATTGTTTGGTACGTTTCTATCATTACAAACCCTTTTTATTGGAAATTATTTTCCATAGCAAATGTGGTTGAGAAATCATGTTGGAAATCGGAAATCTTGTCATGAGTTGGCCAATGGTTAACATACAAACAATGGTTTACAAAGAAAATGGCTTTCAATGTTTCTTCAGATATAATATTTCTTATTGTGTTTGCATTATAGAAAAAATTCTTTCAAAAAAAAAAAAAAACCGTTTCTAATTGCATATGATGTTAATACTATAATGCATAAGATATTTTATAAAAGTTTCCATAATACCCTTTGAAAAACATTCTGCAAGTCCTGTTAAACAAAATATGAATTTATAAAAAAAGGACAAAACTGGACTTAGCTGTAAATAGAACCCACATAAAAGACACAGGTCTGAAAATAGAGGACACGTGCATGGAAAATGGGGACAGCTGGCAGTCCGAGCTGAATTTATTCTTGCCCGATATTGCTACCGTTACCAGCTATTGCTACCAGATGTTCTCTTAAGAGAGTATAAGTACTCTTCTAGATGATATCCTCTTTGGTACTATCTCTTTTTTTATAATTCCTATAAAGCATTCTAAATTAGACACTCATATTCACAATTCAATATATATAAAATTAATTTTCTCAATAAATAATACACAGTTACAGTATTCAAACTCAGGTTATTAGTTGTTGAAGATTTGTTCTAGAATATCTTACCATGGAGGAACTGCTAACATTATGAACCAAGATTTAATGTGAATAAAGATGAAACATTGTCTACCATTGACAGAGAAGATTTTGAAAATGTGTGATTTGCATGTATGAAAATAAATTTTTGTGTGATGAGTGAATATGAATGACCAATGAATACCCAAGGAAAACACATTGAATATAGAATCAGTTTAAAACTGATTGATGCTATTACATTTTATAAACTTTGACCAGTTTTATTAACACTGGCTCCAGGTTCCTAAAACAAAAACAAAAAAACAAACAAACTGTTCTTTCAAATAAAATAGTTTTAAGGAATTTATTTAGTAAATTGTAGTTTCATTTGCATCTAGCCATCTTTTCTTTTTATAACTTACTGAATGAAAAACGCAGAGTACTTTACCCTTATTGTAATGTTTTTAATTTCTGTAATAATTCTATTCTATTTAATTTCTATAATATACAACAAAGCTCAGGAAGACATAGAAAACAAACTTAATAACAGCAATAGAATATGTGGAACAATTAAGAGACACTGGAAGAGTCATGGACCTGGAAACAAAACTGAAAATCCACAATATAGCTGCTAAAACCTAGAATCATGTATGCCTCTGAAACATGGGTAATGATAGAGAGAAACAGAAACTACAGGCTGCACATATGACATATCTAACACACCTTATTCTCTCAAATTACAAATCAAATGTTTAGTAAAAGAGATAGAACAGTCTTAAAGGAGATGGAAAGATCATTTACATAGAATGAACAACAACAGATTTTCTAAATTAACCTTGAAGTAGCCTACACAGCAATAGGGATCAAAGCAGCGACGGATCCAGCAGATCATTTTGAAGGGGACGATCGTAAATTTTTGTTAAATAATAAACATATTTGTGATTATATTGTATATTATTTATGTAGTGTAGATATTATACTAAACAATATTATTGTTTAAACAATTACATGATTCGAGTATAAATACATATTTAAATCAGTTTTACCACATAACGGAAAGAAAACGAAAACTCTAGACCTTTTGGCAGTAGCATGCCCCATGCCCCCCACCATATTTAAATCAGTTTTGACAAATAACGGAAAGAAAACGAAAACTCTAGACTTTTGGGGAGGCCATGGCCCCATGCCCCAATTTAAATCAGTTTTCCAAATAACGGAAAGAAAAAAAGGAAAACTCTAGACATTTTGGGGAGGCCATGGCCCATGCCCCCCCCCGGATCCGCCAGTGAATCAGAGATAGAGACAGACCACTGAAGAGGTGGCAGGTTGGAAGACTAATAATCTACCAAGAATACTGTAATAAACCAATGGAATAAACAGGCTATAAATCCTAATTTATGGTCAGTTCATGATGATGATTAATATTTATTCTCTGAATGGTGGATGTCATCAAATCAATGATATAAACGTAATAAGAGCATAATTTAAAAAAATTTCAGGAATCAAAATTTATCTTGAAAATCCTAAAAATAATAATACAAAATCTAAGAGATTTTAAACAGTACCAATAAATAGAGTTTGTTATGAAAGTCTACTAGTACAAAATGTACTAGCGATTAAAAATTGAAATTACAATATTGGAAATCCATAAAAATCACAAAAGTTAAATCATAGATTGTCTACTCTGACAAGAAACTAAATGTACTCTTTTTTTTTAAACATCTTAAATACAACGTATGCACTCTTTCGTGTCCTGGCGATCTGGTAATTATAAAATTGGCAACAGCAAGAAGTTGGTTTTCTGGAGAAGGCAACGGGTATTACATAAATTCATGTTTTCGGTATCAGTATGACTTGCGTAAGTCCGATGGGAGAAGTATAATTTAACATCTTCGCAAAATTGAATCCCCACTGGAAAACGCGAGTCCGGTGTACGTGCAGGAATTCAGCCACATCGGTGTTCCGTATTTTTTTGACATTGACTGCCCATGTTTCAAATTTCTGTCGATGACAAAATTTTATTTTTATTTTTTTTTATTTGACCCTTCCTTTTAAAGAGTGAAGTATAATGAGATTGATAATTTCTGATCTTTCACAGAAAATGAACGCTGAACGATCTGCGTTAAGGTTTACCATGAAACAATATTCTTCCATAGTGTGACGACCGAAGTTGTGCCATCTAAATTGAATTTTTGTACATGTTTTCGGATCAAATCTGAAATGTGAATACAAGGGTCAGGGCTTTTGAACATTAGCGTACAATGAACACTTGACACTAATAAAATCAGTTTTTTTTTCTTTCTGAATTAGAATACACATTATACTTGTTTAGGAAAGAGGGCGGAAAGTATGTGATAGTATGAGTGCTCTTAGTGGGAATATACAAAAGTGCTGACACCAAACCACCTTGAAACATGATAATCTAACTTCAATGTGCTATGTCATTCCACAGCAGCAATTCACATCTTTTTCGACAGCGGAGGATGTGTTCGACTCATCTGTTTGGAGATCGTAACCAACTGGCAGGCATGACATATCTCGAAATCATTCATAGACGAGAGATAGTTTTTTGTAGTTTCTTGGAATGACTTCGCTAAATTTGCTTTTGAAGAACATAGATGAGATAAAGAAATTTGTGTGACAAGGTCCAGTTTCACTACCTAATTATATAACTTACGAAACAAGACGTTAAGTGTAAAACAAACAAAAAACAAAACAAAAAAAGAAAACATTTTGAGGACGTGAATCTAGAGTTCTAGATACTAATTCCATTTCCCTTTCTGCCTTCATTTATAGAGAAATAAATTGTGTTATGCAAGAATATTTTAGCATTTCATTCCATATTTCCGTTCGCACAGCACCGCTCCATAATCGCATTGTTGGCAAGCATGCGAAGTCATTCAGCACCATCTGTTCAGTGTTTTGATTTACCGTTTCTTGCATGTTTACAAGATCAACGTTCGGGTTGATTAGTGAATGATTGAATTTTCTGTTGCAGTGTGAAGGGAGCTTGTAATAATTAGCATATAGAAAGAGCAGGAAATTTTAAACCTTACAAATGTCTATCAGACTGAAATTGTTGGGCATAGTAGATGTTATTTTGCGAGTTCCACCGTTGTTCATTATGGACGAGTTGTTAAGAATTGGACTAGGATTACCACAAGGTGACAGTAATTATGACAATTCATCTTATGAAATTGACGATTCTCTTGTGCCAGATGGGCAAAGTAAATCAGAATTCTCTCTTCCTGTCAGTCAATATGATGATCAATTTTACAAGGCATTTGCTATTACTGTCTTCAAGTTCTTTTTTTCATGTTTAGGTAAGTTGAAGTTTTATCTCTTTTGTTTCTTACTTCCCTCTCAAACGTCCAATGTTTTCCTCATGTATTCACATGATTTCTTTCAACATGGTGTCGCTGGAAAAAATATAATTTTTAACTTTTAATGCAAAATAAATCTCTAATGAATTGGCCAAGAAGTGTTCTTTATTCAGGTGGTGTTGGTAACTTTTCTATTATTGTATTTATAACCTGCTTTTGACATAGAGGAGAAGGGAAAGACTGGTTGGGAACATTCCTAGCTAGAAGCCTTTGGATTTATTGCTTATTTCTGTAAATTTCTTCAAATAAGGTCATTAAATATTTCATCTTCTATTTATAAAATACTGTTAAATCTAGATTTCTTCAGTATCCATTTTACAAATGTTTGAGATGTGCTTAAATTCTAACATTTATAGTAATAATGAAATTCAGAATCAATGAAGTTTTTGGCAATTCTTTTGACTCTCAAATTATACTTCTTGTGTAAATATTTGAGATTGTGTTAAAGTTTGATGAGAGTTTAATAAACTGGTTTCATAAAAAAAAATCTCTTCAGATGTTCTGAATGAAGTGCATTTGTTTTGTTATTGTGTTCAGCATTGCTTCTAGATTTCTTTTGGCATTTATTCCTGTTATTTTTCTAAATTCATACATAACTTGTTTTTTCATAATTTGTTAAAAAGTTTTAATGTTTTTTTTGTTTCAGGCATTGTTGCTGCAATGTGCATATTCATGTTATGGACAAAACATCTCGTTATTGTCTACATGTACTTAATATCTCTTGGCATAGTTTTTGTGTCTTATTGGTCAAACGTGAGTACAATGAAGACTGTGATTGCCACGATGACAGCAAATGGAACTTCAACTAAGATAGTTACCAATAGCATACTTGAAGATGTATTATCTTTAAACCTTCGCAGACTTTTGGATCCAGAAGGTTGTGGATTTGTTGTGGTTCAGAATTATGCCCTGCAAACTATATTGGCCTTCATTTTTATGTATGTGCACTTGGGGCCTCGATACTCTTTAGTACAGAAATTATTGCCTATAAGTTTTATGGCTCCCTCATTTTTAGCTATTTTACCGTTACCTTTGTCAGTTCTTCATCATGCTCCAGTTTTTGCGGCATTGCTGCCTCTTGCTCTGGTAAAATTTGTCTTGTGGTATAGTGCACTAACTGTAGTTCAAACTGTCTATGGTGGTTATCAACATGCCCGACATTTTGTGAATAACTTTGGAGTTTCAGCTCTGGTAGAAACAGAATGGATTCGTTTGAATGTTCCAACTGTGCTGAGAACATTCTGGATGCTTAGAGTAACAGAGCAAGCTAGCACACTCCTAATAGATCATGTTGCTTCTGGTGACAGTGGTGTACCAAGTGTCGTGAATTTTGGAACTTTTCTAGAAATGATGAGAGGATTGCTCGTTAGTGGCTGCGAGACTCTGACTGCAGTCCTTGGTATGACAAGTATTGTGTCATATATTTGTCATTACATTGGATGCTTTTTCCAATGGGTTTTACTAACTGAAGATGATGATGATAAGAGCATTGGAACTGTATCAGCTATTTTATTTTACATTTTGGCACTACAGACGGGTTTAACTGGTCTGGATCCGGAAAAAAGATTTGTTCGTCTATGTCGGAATTTCTGTCTTCTGTTTACAGCTCTCTTGCATTTTATACATAATATTGTTAATCCCCTTTTGATGTCCCTCAGTGCATCTCGTAATCCGTCACTACATCGGCATATTCGGGCATTGTCTGTTTGTGCATTTTTAATATTATTTCCTGTCTCTCTTCTTGCATATCTTTGGTCCCAGCATGCAATGAGCACATGGTTATTAGCAGTTTCTGCATTCAGTGTGGAAGTCATTGTGAAAGTAGTTGTTTCACTAATGATATACACACTTTTCTTAATAGATGCTTATCGTAGTACTTTCTGGGAAAAATTGGATGATTATGTTTACTATATACGAGCATTTGGCAATACAGTTGAATTTTGTTTTGGAATATTCTTGTTCTTTAATGGTGCTTGGATTTTGATATTTGAATCGGGTGGCGCCATACGAGCTATCATGATGTGTATCCATGCATATTTCAATATTTGGTGTGAGGCACGAGCTGGTTGGAATGTATTTATGAAAAGACGTACTGCTGTCAATAAAATAAACTCTTTACCTGAGGCAGATGAAGATCAGTTGAGACGTTTAGATGATGTTTGTGCAATATGCTATCAAGAAATGAAGAGTGCAAAAATAACAAGATGTAATCACTTCTTTCATGGTGTATGTTTGCGAAAGTGGTTGTATGTTCAGGACAGGTGTCCTTTGTGTCATGACATTCTGTATAAAGTAGATTCAGACTCGCCAAAAGAGAGTGTAGATCACAGTGAGGGATTTCCAGACTTAAGTAACATAGGAGAACAACAACAGACACAACAACAGCAACAGTCATCTCAAGACAATGTTAACCAAAGTGAGTCAGAACCAACACCGTCAGCTTCCATGGCTGCAACCTCTGAAAATCGTGATGAATTTGTCATTTTAAGTGCAGGACAACAGAATGTTCAAAATGCAGTAAATGTTCAAAGGTGAAGACATGTGACAATTTTAGAAACTTATTGCTTACATGAATCCTGGGAAAGTGACATTTTATTTCATAATTATTCATCCCTTACGATAATTTGAATGAAAGGAAGACGATCTCATTCATATTTATTTATAAGTTATCATGCTACCAGTGAGTGAAGGACCTCTGAATGAGATAAATAACATTACAATATTACATTTGGTTTTCAAAATTTTAATTGTTTGTTAGACAATGTTAAAAGCTTCAAAGGAAATGAAAATAATTTTCTGAAGTGTAGCCATAAGATGTGCTTCCCGTTTTTCCGCTTTATTATATTTAAGCAGCAAGCGATAAACAAAGTTTATAATTAACTCCAATTGTGCATATATTTGTAAATAGAAAATCATTGAGTCAGTACCATATTTTGTGTTTCTTTTATTATATACATATATTTTTCGTATTGCTATTTTTTAATGTAAGGACAATTTGTAAGAAACTTATTTATTTGTAAGAAAGTGAAGCACAATACTTTTTGTATTGCATTCTTTTCAACAATGTGATTTTTATATTTTTCTTTCTTATTGTTTGTACCATTCTTTGTAATTCAATGCAGAGATGGTGTAAAAATGTGAAATATTTATTTGGTGATGTGTTTTCCTAAGCAGGCCTCATTCAAATGGACTGAGTTTTATGGAGGTCTCTTTAACTGTACTGATAGCTGAACGACTGTGTAAGTATTGTCCAAGACAAACCTGTGTGATATGCCTCTAGTGTGATATAAATTATTTGGAATGTGTTACAGTAACATAACCTATTTTTGTCAAAGTTGCAGTTATTTAATCTATTATTACAGTTAACTATCATGATAAACAAGAAACAAACAAACAAAAAACACTTCAGTTATATTTTGGGAAATTTGTTGAGCAACTGTTTTTCCCCCCCTGAACTGTAGTAAATTAAATCAATCTGTTTCTTAGTTGTTTTCACTCAGAAAATGAGCAAAATTGGATATTTCATTACTGAAAAATTGGTATAAAGTTTGTGTTTTGTAAGAACCTACAAGATCTTATTGAAAATATTTTATGAAAATGCTGTTTCAGCTTGTTCACGTCTATTTCTGTCATTGGTACTGTGTGTAAAGAAAACTATCATACCTATCATACATATTTGGTGTTCTCCAATGATATACTTGGAAACATATGAAAGTATTCTTGTATTCAAAAGTAGTCAGAAATATTCTCTAATAGTATATATATTATTGTTCTTGTAATTTCCCTTAACATCGGTTTCCAAGTGTGCCATTGTACAATTTGTCGATCTACTTTGCTCTGTATAATGAAAATAGACTGTGAAAAAGATTGAGATGTTGACTCAGCCATATTGACTAGGCAGTTGAAAATAAATGACTGTGAATTTGTGACTTCGTTTTGATTTTAAAATCCCAAAACCTTTCTGAAATAAAAATAAAATAGAAAAAAAAATGTTTTATCGAGGTTGAACTTCCTCTATGAAACAGTGGTAAGTTGTTCTTTTTTTTAGAGAACAGAAGGATATTTCAAGGTTTTCAAAGTTACTGAGGGGTGATCTATCAAATTGTTATTTTCTTATTTTGAACATTTCTTTCCTCTGAAGTAATGTGTCATTACTGTTAGAAGATGGTGTTATAATTAATTTACTCAATGGAGGCAAAATCAAACAATGATTAAAGAATCACATTTTCCAAACTTTCAATTTCAGTTGTCTGACTATACTGTGGATGCACATCATCGAAAAATTGTAAGTTATTAATGAGAATATTGAAAGTGTATTCCTGAAATTTTTTAAAATTAATTATCTACTAATTAAAAAAATAATTTTTCCATTGAAACATGCTCTAATTATTTAGCTGGAACTTGTCATTTTATACTTCTCAACCATCTTTCACTTTCTTCTTTCTTATTATTTTTCTTTGTCTTTCCCTACTCCCATTGGTGATTCTTTTGAAAGTCCTGAGTGCTTACTTAATATGCATGCATTTCTCATGAGTTTACACTTCTTTCATGCAATAGGCAAATTTTATCTCCCTTAAGCTATTTATAAATTCTTCTCTTGTGACTGTTTGCTTAAGCTCTATTTTTCTTAAGGATTTAAACGGTACTTGCTTATGCAGGGTCTTTAGCTTAACTCACAACCTATGTCTGGAAATAACACCTCCTGTTTTGGCAATTTGACAACGCATGAAATACCTTTGGCATCCCTTTCACTTTTAGTGACCCATGGCCGTGCGCCCTCACATTTTGGAGTGAGAGAATGTGGCTAATTTTAGTTGGAAGCAAGAGAAAGCACTTATTCTGCCCTTAGTCTTCAATATACTGCAGCCCCTACACTGAAAAGTAAATGCCTGTCTCTTGGCAAATGGTGATCACATTGAAAATTTACCCAACTGTCAGTTTTATGTCATTTTAGAGAAATTATGTTTAATTAATTTTTTCAATAATTGTTAATTTATTACTGATTGGTATTTTTAATAATTTTATTATGGCTTTTTTATTTGCTTAATAATGAGATTGAATAATAATATAAATATAATAATGTTGATGATAAAAAAGCACACAACATATTTTGTTTTACAAGGTGACCTTGACTACCCCAGATTGTACGTGTGCTGCAAAAAAAATAGTTAAAAAACAATTTTAGAAATGTCTATTTAATAATGTAAACTTAGAATTAAAATCTATCTTAAGTTCATTGATGTCATTGTACAGATGTATGAATTGGCTTGTTCCAGACTTTCACTGAATCATTATTTCTTGTTTGTTAAAAATTTCATAAAATTTAATTTCCCGTTAATGAGAACGAGACATCTTGAAGACTTGCTCTGGCAATTGTTGATGTTTTGATTTAAAAGTGTTCAAGCATGCTATTATTTGAAAATATTAATACATGTTTGTGTGGGTAGAGAAATTGCCCCCTAATTACAACATCAACCAGCTCCCTCTGTAACTGTCTCCACCTGTCTTCAGGAATAAGAAAATGTAAACAATGTAGACATTTTGTTTTATGAGGCACACTGTTTCCACCCAATTAGAGGCTATGCTGATCATAAAATATAAATATAATTTTTTTAAAAAAAATTATATATAGTGCATTAGTTTAGATTTGTATTGTATAGTTTTTAAAAGATTTAATATGCCTGTAGCAAGTAGTGTATGTCAGCTTCTGTGTCATTCACTCACATCTTTATCAGGTTTTTGTCCTGTTTCCCTGATCTATTGAGCAAATGCTGAGATGGCCTCTCATTTTGCCTCTGGACATAATTGTAGCTTCAATTTGTGCCAGGGCTAATAAAAATCATGATAAAAAAAAGAAAGAAAGAAAAAAAATTGATTTAATTCGGATTTGTTGATTTAAATTTAAGTTTTTACATTAAGTAAATTTTTAGATATTTGAAGAAAGAGAAAAAATTGGAGAACTCGGTAGAACAATGGGGTTATCCCACATTGACCTAATTCTTGAGATATTAAGGATTTTACAGGAACTTTTATAATATAACTTAAGAAATCATGAATCAGTAAAATCTTCCTGAAATACTTTTTTATATATATCATATATCAAGGCAACTTTCTGCAAGTAATGAGAAAAAATATTAATATCATTAAATTTTTTGGGGCTTACAACAATTGTTCTTGTTTCACAAACATTGGTTCTGTTCTTGAAATACCCTCTCTTGCAAGAAAATACTTAATTAGTCTGAATAAATATGTATTTTGAGTATTATCATTATCCATTTTACAGAAATCTTAGCATCTCTTTCATCATTAAAAAATGATGTGAATGTACACCATTGTCTTTTGCTAGAGTTAATGTCAACACAAGCTTCGGTTGGCACACTTTGGTTAAAATATAAAAATATTCTTCTCCGCCATTTCTTTCCTTCTAATATTTTCTTTTTAGTTTTCTGGGTATATTTTCCTTTTTTATTTGAGCTTCAAATTTTTAATCATTTTTTGTAAAATGTGCAATAAATTATATTTTTGATTTAAATCGTTTTTTTTGTTGGGCATAATGATTTAAATAATTGAAAGCCTATATGTTTTGTTAAGCTAGTTGTGGCTAAGAGTAGAATCAAGAATATGGGTAACTAATTTGTTAGCATTACTAAATAATCAAATCTGTCGTTTGCTTCTAAATACCCCTCTAAAACAACAACAACAACAAACAAACAAACAAACAAGAAAATCTATAACTTGGGAGCAAACATGTCTAGTTTGGAAATGTTGCTAACCTGACTTTGTTGGTACTTTTATTCATCATTCAAATATTTATAGTTAAAGGATGGGGAAGAGATTTTGGAGCTCAAGACCTCAAGACAACATGCAGATTGCACTTCTCCCCTTACTTCACATATTTTACTGTTCTTTTTTGAAAAAAAAAAAATTACTTTTGTCAACTTTTTGAACAGGGAAAGTCATTATCTGAAGAAATGACTAAGGCAGGTTATTAATAAATTAGCTGTCATTGAATGGGATAACAAGTCTCAATTTTGGAGGAAAAATAGGAAATGATTTGAATAGCGTTTCAGAAGCAATCATCATTACCACAGATATGTTGTTCTTCAGTCATTGATTGGAGAAAATGTGTTTTAAACATTTTAATTTTTTGAAATGGCCAGAAGCTCAAGTAATTAATCTGTCTCCTTCAAAACAAAATCAAGTGCTTCAATGAAATTAACAAAAAAATTACATTATGTATTAATAGTAAAGTATTTTTAGTTATCTGAAAACCAGACCTGTGTTATTGTTATAAGCTTACTTTGCTCAATTGCTTCTTCATTGCAAACTTCAACTTTTTTACTTTTGCATGTTTGGAATCTGTCTTACACTTTGAATTTTGAAGCTGGAGATTTCTTTGACAATGCAATCTGCTTTTCAATATTAGGTCTTTCTTCCAAATGTTAGTAGTTTTTGAGTTAAATCATGAGCATTTTGTTAGGTTTCACAGTCAGTTATTTATTAAGAAGGAGTGGTTGGCCTAAATCCAGGTGTTAGAATCATATGCTAGTGGAATACAATTTAATATGAAATAATATTCACAGGCATGCAATTCAGAAGCCTAAACCTTGTTTAAGCAAATTATTTTCGTATCGATTCTTCAAACATTTTATATGTATTTAGAAGAATGAATTCAATGAATTCACTGAATTCAATGGCAGAAGTGCTATTTGTAGTCAACATTTATTATTTTTCACTCTAATATAGCAATCTGTACTTACAAAAATGGCTCAGGTCCATTTTTCTGTAAAAACCCGTGAAATTTCGTAATTTGCAAAATTTCAAAAACTTTCTTCTTTAATCCTGTCATTAAATTAGATTAAGATGGATATTTTTTGTTGATTAAAGAATATAGCCAAATACGGTGGTGAAAAGTGCCCACAATCCAAATTGATAATCATGATGATCATATGAAAGTTTAAAAAGTGCTGTAAATTTCAAAAAAATCAGTCTCCGAGGGCAATTGTTGCAGAGGTACAAGAAACTTGTTTTTCATGTTTTATTTTTTCTCAGATTCTATTGCATGAATCAGGCCAAAAAAATTTGCAGCCAGAGAAAAAAAAATTGAATATGAAGGTATTTTTGTCACTCAATTTTAATGCCAAATTGAAATAGGTTTGTTTTTTTTTAATTGATTTTTGACATGATAACATTGGAGTACTGTGTCAGTTCCCCTCCCCCTAGAATGTGTCTTACAACATATTTTTTCAGATTTTTAAACAATGTAGACTTAAGTGAAAAAAAAAAAAAAATTATCTGTTTAGAAATTTAAAATTCGCGCCAGAATGTGATCTTTAAATAATGATAATTTATTTATTTGATCAAAAACAGTATAATCCATGTTACATATGGGGGAGAAAATCAAACTGTTTGCAATTCTAGAACCCTATCCAAAACATTCTAACTATAAATAGTTGAAAGATAAATAAAAAGATGTAAATAATAATAATAGTAGTAAAATAATAATAATAAATAATAATAATATAATTAATTAATAATAATAATAATAATTAATAATAATGATAAAAAAAGCCCGAGATTAGGAACGTTTTTAGTAACTAGACTTTTTCGTTCCCGGGTTGTAGGAAACTTATTTGTTTCGGCAAACTAACTCCAGATTTGATTCCTCTGTACTCGTATTGCTAATAAAATAGCAACTCACCACAACTCTACTCATACCACTGCAAGCAAAAGGAGAGGTCGACAAAACGTGCGCGCATAGTGAAACTACATTTATGTCCAAAGCAAACCAAACATCTTAGCATTTACTGAATGTGATCCATTGGGAAACTCGACAAAAATCTCATCGAGATGAAAAAAATGTCATCAACATTTTTTCAATGAGTAATTTTAATGAAATTTTGAGCAAAATTGTGAGAAATACTAACACAAAATTTTCTCAAAATTTTCCCCAAAATTTTGTCTTTAAATGAGAAATCCGAATTTTACATTTAATATTATGGGGCAGTTCAAA